GTCTCCTCTGGAGATATTCAAAACCTGCCTGGACACGTTCCTGTGTGACCTGCTCTGGGTGGTCCTGCTCTGGCAGGGGGATTGGACTGGGTGATCTTTTGAGGTCCTTTCCAACCCCTGACGTTCTGTGATTCTGCGTGACTTGCATTGCCTGTGTCTCCCCTTTGCTGTCACTTCAACGGGAGAGTCTTCCCAGGTGCCTTGACCAGTTCTGCTGGATGGTGGGTTTGGGCTAACATCAGGCAGTGGTGGAGAGGTTTCAGTAACCCCTCCCTGACACCCAGGGCAGTGACAAAGGCTGCTGGCCATGCAATTCCTGTGCTTGTGGCTTCACCTGCTTCTGTTCATACATGTAGCTTTCCGGTTTTCCTATCAAAAATAGGGGCAGGAAACTGGAACCGGAGGGCATGAACAGGATGGGAAGAGAGATTTCTTCCCTACCTCTTCACAGCAAGGGATGATACAATCTGCCAATGTAAAGAAAAGCTGATATTTAGGGAGCTGCACCCCAAGCCCAGCTGCAGAGTGGAGTGGTCCTCACCCCTGCCATTGCCCCTACAAAGTACTGAATTTCTGTCACCCTGACGACATGTGCAGTTCCGGGAGCATTTTACCTTTAACTAGCCTCTAAACTGAGCAAAGAGTTTTAGTCCTAGAAATGATATATTGCACTGGAAGACCTCACTGCTCCCTTTGTTGCAGGGACTCATATATACTTCGGTTTATAGTTTAATAATCCCCCTCAGTCTGGTCCCGCCACAACTCGAACACGCACTGGCACTGAATGCTTTTGGTTGGGCTGGGAGAAATCTCCAGCAGCAGTCTTTGGTGGAAGGCGGCCACAGGAGGATTTGAATCATTGGATTTAAGGCCATAGTATTTTAGTTTTTTAATATTTTTTTTTTAATACACCCATCAGCCCAGCAAACCAACAGAACTGGAGCCATCTTTCACTTAGAGAACTGCAAAGCTCAACTTGCAGGCACAGTATTGCTGAAATACCCTGCTGATGAGGATAGCTGAGAGGACCATAGATCATCATGGCTTTTAGAAGCTGCATAAAGTTTGCTGGCTGGGTATTTAACAGAGCTGTCTGATTGGGAAGAAAACCAGAGGGAAAGATCAATGGGAGGCAGATGTCATGGACTAGGAGGTGTCCAGGCACTTTTCAGAGCTTGCTGCTTTGTGAATAAACAGCAGGAAACCTCTAAGGTGCTCAGACTTGATTGTAGAGTGCCCACCGGGTAAGTGGGGAGGGTTGTCCCATGTTCGTCTCTCTGCCTTGTTCTTTCAGCTGGTTTCGGTGCTGAGGGAGGTGAGCTACCTCTCTGGCAGCCAGATGGGAGCCGTCCCACCAATGGCAGCAGAAATCTATTCCTCCAAGGAATCATACCGGCAGATGGTGGCCAACTTGGAGCTGATGGTGAACAGATACAATAAGGTCCTGAAGACAGTCCTGGAGGTCGAATACCCTCTAATACAGGGGCAGCTGCGGGACATTGACTTGAAGCTGCACGAGGCAGAAGAAACACTGAACTGGAAGATGGAGGGTGAGCTAGCTCTGTGTTGGGGGGAAGAGCACGTGCACTTGGGCTTCATCAGATTCCCCATGTGCCCAGCCTCTGGCACCTGGTTCCCAACTGCAGTTCCCAGCAGGCCAGGGGACGCTTCAGCTGAGCCAGCGCCGTGGCAATGGAGAGCAGCCCCCAGCTCGCCTGCTCCTTTCCATGATTTGCTGGGGTTGTGGACAGGATCCTGCTCCCTTCAGGTTCAACCTGGGATTTTGGGGAGGAAAGGCTGCCCTATAGGCAGTGCTGCCAAGGAGATGGCAAAATTTGGGTTTGCGAGAGCTGGGAAGTCTGGGGTTGAAGCATCTGCTCGCTGCCTGTGCCAGCCCACCTGTGCCAGCCCAAGTGACCCGTTGGGTGCCTGTGTCCCCCAGGCACTGCTTTCTCACCCAGTTGTGCAGGGAGTAGGAGCCTTGGGCCCAGCCATCTGGCACTGCGGTGGACTTGTCCCACTGAGAGCCAGGGCCGCCTCATTATCTTTCCCATGAAGATGAAATACTGCAGCTAGAGGTGGGTTTTGTGCACTGTGACTTTGGAATGATTTGATCAGCGTTCTTGCTTCATCAGTTTTAACTGCAGAGCAGACTGGATGAAGACAATTTGTTTCCTCTTGGTGAAAGCAAACTGCTTACGGGTGAATATGTATTTATGTCATCAGGCTTGTGCCATGAACGGGAACAAGTGTCATCCCGCGGGAACATGCAAAGCAGAAGTCCTCGTGTGAAAAACTCTCTCGCCGTTGCACAGTAAAGATGGATTTTCCTGCAGATGAACCCTAAGTTCCCTGCATCTAAATGCAGCCCTCTCTGGTACCTGGAGCTAGCACAGCCCATGTGTGAGGGTTATGGGTACCTGCTCTAGTGATGGTGTCAGGGACACTCAGCATCTTGTACTCATCCTCCCTGTGCTGCGCTCTCTGGTAGCAGTCAGTGGGACATCAAACCTGGGTAGAGGGAAGCAGGAGCTGTCAGACATCGCTACGGTGTTGATACTCCTGGCAGAAAGCAGAGCCTGTGGCTGTCCGTACCATGGCTTCTTGGGGTAGGAGGGAGCTAGAAGTGGCTCTGTTGGTTGAGGCGGTAAGGCTCTTGTGTTAGTGATGGGTGAGAAATACATGAGACCGTAGGGAAAATGCCAGAGGCTGGCCTTAAGGAGGGTGCACAAGAGTTTGGCCCAGCAGCTCTGAAAACATGTGGTCAATCATCTGATTTTTTACCAGGTGTCTGGGATCACATCTCCGTGGTAATGAACGGTGTCCACGACCTCGAGCAGAGGATACAGAAAGCCAAAAACAACGTTGAGGAAATCCAGACCGTCGTGCGATCGTGGGTGTCGCCCATATTTGAGAGGAAAGATTGCAAAAGGGAATCGCTGCTAAGCCTAGAGGATTGCCAGGACCGCCTGGAAAGACGTTACAACCTTGTCAGAGAGTCAGGGCAGAGGATTCATTCACTGGTGAAGGTGAGGGGGGACCTTCCCCAGCGGTTTGTTGGCTCTTCATAGGCTCCGAGTGTCTCTCCAATCTGTTGAAAATGTCCAGAGCTGTTTCACCTTAAAATGAACTCAACGCATTTGAAAATCTTGCCCAACGTTAACTAACGATAGCTTTGAGCAGTGAGCTGGTGTGGCTGCGTGGTGCAGGGCTGCTGGCTGGGCACTGCGGGGCACCCAGTGCGGGGCAGGAACGGGAGCGGCTGCAGCCCAGCGGAGGGGTCTGGCCCCCGGGCTTGGCTGTGGTGGAGCCACTAGAGGGGGGTCGTGCATCAGGCTTTGGGATCCTGCTCAGAGGAAAAATGCCCCTCCGAAATCTTTACCTGAAAATAAAGAGGCAGCTGGCTGTGGCTGACCTTTCTGGTTCAGGCTCGTCCTGCTGTGGGAGCAGGAGGTGACACTGACAGTCCAGGGAGAAACTGAGTGACAGGAGAAAAAAGCTGCTGGCCAAAACCTCGGCGCTTTCCAGTGGCTTTGCCAGAGCCGAGAGTCCTCTTTGCAGGCCAGGAGAAAGCCCAAAGTTCTGTTCCTCACCTGCCCAGAGCAAGGTGTTATGTATGTCAGGGACAGCACCTTGGCCTGGAGGGAGATGGATTTTGGATCCAGCCCTGTCCTGAGTGTCACCATCTGGCCTTGGACTCTGGAGAGAGCCAGCTGACCCTCTCTGGGACACTGAGCTCTTGTTGCTCGCCTTACCTTGCTGTCTGCAGTCAGCCCTGTGCCTCTCTGCACGCTGAACCCACGGTGAGGGTTTTACTGTGCCCATGCTATTCTGCTGCCACAGCTGTGACAGGCTCTGCCACCTCCAGCTACCACCCAGAAGACCAGGGCACTTGCTAGATTGGCCAAAGAGAATATGGGGCTGTGGTCATGGCAGGGGGGCTGGTACTACTCGTGTGGTGGCACCACCAATGCTGCTCACAGGGGCAGGACCAACTGCAAAGCAGCATGAAGGTCCTGAGGGGGGAAAGGCTCCATGGGTCAAAATGGGGTGTCCCCATGCCCCAAGAGCTGTCTGTTGAGCTTCTCTTGGTTGATCAAGTCTTCCTGGGGGCAAGTGAGTCTTGAGGCCGCTGAGAGAAGCGCAGCGAGGGTTTGGGTACATGCACCAACAGGCGAAGGCAGGACAGTTAGATGTAGACTTTCATTGCCCTTCTTTCGCCAGGCTGAGGCCTCTGGAGTAAAGGCTCAGCAACAAGGGGACTTTATCAAATACAAGGACAGGGAACGATGAAGAGAGGGCGGTGCTTACAGATGGGTGTTCCCAGAGCGTTCCTTCTTATGAAGTTCCTCTTTCTCTCCTGTCGGCAAAATGTAGCCAGGGTGAGTCTGCAAGGGGCCAGAGCCCTGCCTTGCTCTGTCGAGAGTTTAATCACCCAGTTATGACATATCAAGTCGGGGAGCAGCAATTTTGGGTTGGCTCAAGCCCAACTGGCAATGCCACGCTATCTCAGAGGTGCCAAGCTGCTGTGTCAGCTCTGGGACCGGCACCCTCTGCTGTGACCCCCACACATGAAATGCTGCCAATGTTGACCCCCAGCAACAGACAGTGTGTATTGATTCCTGCTCACTGCAAGCTGGACCTTGTCTTTTTTGAGACTGTGCCTGTGATGAGAGCCCCTGGCAGGCTTAGGGGAAGGAGTACTCAGAGGGCATAGCAAGGCAGGGGACAGGATCACAGCAGAGCCTGGGATGCTTCTGGGCGGTGCAGGGAGTGGGTATGCAGCCTGGCTTGTGGGAATGGAAAGAGGAAACCCAGAAAGGATGGGTCTCTGCTGTGACCCAGAAAACCCTGAACTTCCTGACTGGGAGCTTGCCTGGAGGGAGGGAACATGATAAGCTGAGGTTAGCCAATGCTTTGTCTTCTAATCCCAACCTTTATCTGTTTGTACATGTTTGATTTAAAAATCCTGTCTTGAATTTAAAGGTTCTCTGGTCTTGAGATGACCGTTTGTAGGGCAGAGGTGTAAGCAGTCCACCTTGAAGGCCTCATCCACTCAAGGTGACACTATATGGGCCACCAGGGCTGGGTCTTCATGCATTGGGATGAGCCTTTGAAACCCCTGAGTGCTCCCTGCCCCAGGCGTGCAAAGCAGCCTTGAGCCCTGTGGCCTCAGAGAAGATGGAGCAGAACATGTCACAGAGCTGCTAAGCTGCTTCTGCACTCCATTCTTACCTTGCACTTACTTTGAGTTGTTTCAGATGACAAAGGAGCCCTTGACAGAAGGAGCAAATTGTGGCCATGCCACCAGCAGCAACATCCATCTATCGGGTTTCCCATCCCTCCACAGGGCTGGTACCCGTGTGCTCATTGGCATCAGTCCTTAGCTGTGGGCAGCTGTCTTGCAAGACGGACTCAGCCCCACTGTATTTGAAGGCATCTTCTTTTTCTTCCAGGAAAACCAGAGCCTCTTACTTGCAGACCCAGCATCTGAAGCCTGGAAGGCCTATGTGGATTATTTGGATGAGATAGTCCTGGATGGGTTCTTCACCGCCGTTGAGTGCTCGCTCAAGTACCTCCTGGAAAACACAGGTGACTGCTGTTTCCTCTCGTCTGGTTTCAATGTCTGCTCCAGTCTCATCAAAGGGGGGTTTCTGTTCTGTGCTCTCCCTCGTGCCTAAGAGTTGCTCTCTTCTTCCAGGCTTTCAGCTGTGCCTCTTGCACTGTCTACAGCAAGTGCTGGGGGAGCTTCCAGTCAGGGCGGGTGACTCCAGTCCCCAGTCATTGGACCACAGCTTTGCTCAGGGGGAGGGATAGGTATGGCTGTGCACCATTTGCAGGGATTAATGGGCAGGCAAAATTGAGGCATCATCCTGAGTCTCTGCTCGGGCACCAGCCATCTTCTGCTTCCCATGCATGAAGTAGCAAGGTGACAATTTGTGGTGAGTCTCAAGAGCCAGTTCTGCTGATGAAAGGCATGAAGGAAAGGCCTCTGTCCCTGAGCCTTAATTAGTCCAATGAAGAAATGAGATAGGTTGAGGGGTCACTAAGTCACCTCCTGCCTAAGGCCACCGTGGGGGTTCATTCACTCTGCTGAAAGCAGCCTGTGTCCAGCTAAAGCACATCTCCAGGAACACTTCCCTGTGTGGATGTGAAGGCACACTGAGTTGGAGAATTGCATCCAGTTCTTCACCATCTTGTTAAAAACATGCACATAATTCCACATTTGCATTTGGCTTCAGTTTCCAGTTGCTGGGGTTTTTTTCATGCCTTTCTCCACTAAATTAAAGAGCCTCTTGGTTCCTGTTGTTTTTCTCCTCTGCAAGTACTTATGTGCTGTAATTGTTCAGCTCTCAGACTCCCTTTTGATTAGCTAGAGAGCCCGGTCTCTTCAAAGCCTTCCTCCACAGCATTTTTTTCTGGTCCTTAAATCACTTGTGTCTCGTCTGTTCTCCAGTGTCTCCTGTGGGTACCAAAACATCAGCTACTTTGCCAGCATCTCCTCTGTGTTGTGTGCAGACACCACGTCACTGGACCCAGTGAGTGGGTGTCTGTGCTCACACCTGCCTGGAGTCCCTGTGGGGCACGTGAGCATCTTGTGGTGGGATGTTAGTGGTGGCTCAAAATCACTTTTCTCCCCTTGAAAAAGATCCTGACATCTCTATTCTTCCCTACCAGATCCCAAGGCAGGGCTCGCTCCCCTGTTTGAGGTGCAGCTGGATTTGGTGATCCCAGATTTAATATTTCATCCCTCTTTGGACCCTGGCACAAATGATGGCTTCTATGACATGGTGGAAGGTCTTCTCAATGACATCTACCGGATCTCATCGCTGGTGCCCAGGCTGGCTGAGCACAGCGGCTTCCTCCACTACCAGGTCCGTGTCCGTGGAGCTCCCTCATGCCTTGTGGCAGTGAGGAGGTACCACGCTGTTCCTGCATCGCTGCACTCTCCTCTCCTAGGCTGACATGGAGGACATGGCTGATCTGGCCGACATGCGCCACGACCTGATGGGACGTGTGCAGGCTGTGATGGCGGCCTGCTGCGATTACCGCAGTACCTTCGACCGCTACTCCTACCTCTATGGGGATGACAGAAAGGAGTTCTGCCGCCAGTTCCTCCTCTACGGGCGCATCCTCACCGCTGCAGAAATTGAGGCCCATGCGGAGGATGGGGTCCCCGAGACACCTCCCACGCTGCAGCAGTTCAGAGAGCAGATCGACTCCTATGAGAAGATCTATGAGGAGGTGAATCGCATTGAGCCCGTTAGCATCTTCCAGGGCTGGATGAAAGTTGATGCTCGGCCTTTCAAGGCTTCCTTGCTGAACGTGATTAAAAGGTGGAGCTTGGTGTTCAAACAGCATCTCGTGGACCACGTCACGCACAGGTAAGGGCTGTTCCTGCCTCCTCTCCCTGGGACCTGTGCTGACCAAAGGGTCATGGGTGGCCTTTATCGTTTCACACTGATGACCTAGTACAGGAGTAGGAGAAGGGTGTCCATACTGCATGCTAATGCCGTCACCCCCCCATACCTTCCGTGCCCTGGTCTCTGCTGGGAACTGCTGTGGCTGATGTGTAAAGTGGAAACAGTTACGTGGACATGCTCCTGGGACCTGCTGTGTGCTGTTAGATAGGACGTCTGTTTGTCTGCTCATCCTGATCCAACTGCTCTAATCTCTGCTAGGGCTCTGTGGTTACTTTGTGGTGTTTGATATTAGCCATCAGTAAAGTTGCATTAATGCCATGAGATACTTGCTCTGTTTCTAAATGCATTGCTCTTTTGAGTGCCCTCTGTGGCTGGCATGAACAGTCATGGGGAGGTAGTTTCAAGGTCACAAAAAAGAGGAGGTTTGGATGTAAATTTTGTGTTAACGTGCGTTCCGTGCTCTGAATAGCTGCTCAGTAGCCAGGTCTGTGTAGGACAATACGTCAGATGATTCGAGTATTCGCAGCTGAAGATGGTCACAGGTCTGGGAAGCTTACAAAGGAGTGTTTACAGGCTCATGTAGTAGTGACGGCTGCTGTATGTGGTGGATGATACGTTCTCTTTTGTTCTTATCAGCACCACAATTCTGTTAGACCATTTCTGTGCAAAGAGATTTTTGTGTAGCTTAGAACAGGCGTTTAGGATCTTAAGAGTCCCTGACTCAGCAGTTTAGTCTTTATTAGGTAAAGTACTTAAGGATACATTTTGGCCAAGCAGCATCCACAGCATTTAAGTGGGCACTTAAAAAGGAAGTGTTTTGAGAAGAGGAGAATAGCTGTGCTGGAAAGGACCAGAGATCCAGGAGCCCATCACGCCTCTGCTGACAGTGTCCAGTAGCTGGTGAGATTAAGAACAGGGTAAGCAGGTAGGAAAACTTCCCCCAAATACTCTGCTTGTCTCTAATGATTTATAGCTCAAGGACTTTGAGAGCCAGGGGTCATGCCTTTGTGTTTAAAGACATAGATGGATTTTTTTTTTCTCCCACAAATGTTTGGTTGCTTTTCTGAACTGCTGTGAATTTTTATCATCTGCATCCTCCTGCAGCAGGGAGTTACCCTGTGAAATGAGGCGGTGTGTGAAGAAGAATCCCTGCTCTTTGTAGCTGTGCAATCTGCCAGGTTCATTTGGAGATCTTGAGTTCTTGTATTGGAAGACACGAGGTGAAAACTGTCCTTTCAAACTCACTCTCTGCCGACCACTCCTGAGCTCACAGTTCTTCATTACACTCCTTCTCAGATACCTTTTCTCCAACCTGAGCAGTCACAACCTATTCATTTGTTCCTTGCAGGGAGCTGTACCACATATATGGATCCCTTTGAGCGTGCGTGGTGGTTCTGATGCCCTCAGCACGTTGCCATGCAATGGACAGGGTTAGCCAAGCCTTTTCCCTGTCCATGCCAGTCCAGCTGCCTGGGGCAAGGCTGACAACGATTTCAATAGGAACTGCTCTCATTTTGTGCTTTTCTGCTGTGTGTTCTGTAGCTTGGCTGACCTTGACGAGTTCATAAAAACTGCTGATAAAGGTTTGAGCAAAAAGGTTGAAAAAGGCGATTATGATGGCTTGGTGGAGATTATGGGTCACCTCCTGGCCGTTAAAGAAAGGCATGGGGTCACCGATGCCATGTTTGAGCCCCTGAAGCAAACCGTCGAACTGCTGAAGACGTACGAGCAGCAGCTGCCGGAGGAAGTCTATAAGCAACTGGAGGTGCGTGAAAACTCGCGGTGGACGCACCAGTTTGCTGAGTAGCAGATGTCAAAGTGCGAGCTAAAGAGCATTGCAGGAATATTTAAGACTCCACTCCCTGTCATTAGAGGGCCTCAGTGGATAGTGTTTTGCCTATTGCAGGATATGCCTTCATAGCTCTAAATTTTGGAGTTACATTGAGATTTTTCTTTTAAAGCTCAGATTAAGCCTTTTGTTATGTATGAAAAAACATAGAATTGCCTGCTCCAACTCCCAGTGATTACTCTTGAAAAAAATTAATGCATTTTCAAATACATCTGTTAATTAGGTTGAATTATAATTATTTTTAAATAAGCCAGTTCTTGGCAACTGTGGAGATGGGAAGGATAATGTTGGCAGATGAGTTGCCTTCTCATAGGACTTCAGTCCTCCACTGGGTCTGTAACACCAAATCTGTTTGACCCAGAGGACATCACTGGGAGCAGGTTATTAAAGTATTTTGGTACCTTTCCACGTCTGGCTCTGATGAATCAGTTTTCTTTTGGGAATTCCTTTCGTTTCTGGAAAGGGGACCAGGAGATGGAGGTTAGGAAGAGACTGTGAGGTGCCCAGCCAGCCTTGGGGAACAGGAGAAAAGCACCGGCAACAGCCAAGGTATTGCAGTGGAGAAGCATGTGGCTACATGCTGATGGATCCCCTATAGCCGTCGGGTGCTGTGTGCAGAGGGGTCTGGGTAGGACACAAGGTTTAAAGCAGGACCTTCTGGGGAGGTGTTCCTGCCTGAGGCACCTGTGCAGCAAAGGCGCCAGCTCTCTGCTGCAGTCTTGGATGGAAGCTGAGGGGGGTTTAGCAATCCCCTGGTGTTCTGCTTGTGCAACCGTGATGCGTGGGTGGCTGGGTCACCAAATTTGGAATAGATCAGGGTCCTAAAGGTACCTGGGTTCCTACAGACTCCCTGAAAAAACAGGGAGCTGCATTACATGGATGGCCTGGCTGCTGCAACAGCTGCAGTACAACATAAAACATGGTGCTGCGGGGAACCTTGGCTGTGCTAATTCCTCTGTTGAAGAGCTGCTCGTTTGGTGCCTGTTTGTGCATTCAAACAACTGATTTATGTCTCTGACAGGAGGAATGCGGGATGCGGGGCAGCCATTCAGGTGCAGGACAGAGCAAAACAGTTTTGTTCTTTCTGGCAAGCAACAGCAACATGTAGTTGAATGATTCGTTCACTCCTGTATAGAATGGGAAAACCAGAGATGTTCATCTAGGTACCACTCCCTCCATGGCTTTGGACATGGATCGGATGGAGCCAGTAGCTTGTATGAGAAGGACAAGGGAGAAGCTCTGTGTGTGCCCTGCTGCAGTCATGGATACTGATTTCTATTGAGACTGGATTATAAAGTGCCAGAAAGAGACCCCACAGGAGGGACTGCCCCCACTCTGGCCATCTCTGCTGCCTCAGAGCTGCCTCCAGGTTATTTCCCTTCTTTCCATAGTGTTGATGGGTCTCCATTAACCTCCTTAACCATGTGAACTGGGATGAAAAGAAACCCAAAGTCTTTCATGTAGGCTTGAACAGTACATGGGGAAGTGGGCTTTCCAAGAGCAAAGTGCTGGGTCTTGAAGACAGCAGAGTCCTTGGCTGGTGTCAGTGTCTGGGCTGAGGATATGGCCTGAGGAGCCTAGTGAGAAGAAATAAAACCCCTTTCTGGAGAAAATCCCAGGTACAGAGGGTGGATTGTCAGCAGTGCTGTGCACTTGTAGCTGGGATGCAGACCTGAGAAAGAAACCAGTCTTGTTTAGCGCTAATATTGTATACACAGGCTGAAAGGATCTGCCCCAGACTGGATAACATCTCCTGCTCTAAAAGCCATCAGGAAATTTCCCAGTAGCTCTTTCTTAATTAGCTCTGGGAAGCCAGATGATCTGGTGAGCTTGCATCCGCAGCCCATGCTCCAGCCTTCAGCTGCTCCCAGCTGGCTGTGGGTCCGCTGGGCTTGGTGTTAGGATCACTGTTCTCTCTTGAGCATTGAACCATCTTGGGAGCCCAGGATCTAGTCTGGGACCCTTCTTCTGAAGTTATTGAACATGTTTTTACAATCAGAGCAGTCAGTTATAAGGTCTCAATCTTCATTAGTCTTCAAAATTGTGAATAACTGCCAAGTTTTATCCCAAATTGCGTGTTTAGCCTTTGCGTCACAACAAAACTTCCTTACAGTTTTAGACATGAAATCTGTTGCTTTTCCTGTTCTGTGATTACCTGTGAAAAGATCAGACACACCTTATATTGAATAGTAAGTACTGCCTACCAGCATTTAAATTTTGCTTTCAGGAGCTGCCAGAAAAATGGAACAATATAAAGAAGCTGGCGATAGCTGTGAAACAGCATGTGGCTCCTCTGCAGGCGAATGAAATGACAGTTCTGCGCAAGAGCTGTGCGGCGTTTGATGTTGAGCAGCACAGATTCAGAGAGCGATTTCGGAAAGAAGCACCGTTCAGGTATGGGCAAATTATAGCATCAGAGAAGCCCTGAGGGAGAAAAAAAAAGCTTTATGGGATCGTCTCCGAGTGTCCTCAGGACGTGTGCTCGAGCCCTTGCGTACGTTTCCTACCTTCTCACAGTGTTGTAACTGTTATGCCTGGGGTGTTCTGTCCTTGGGAACGCTGTCCAGTGTCAGCAAGAGATTGCATTTGGATGCTGAATGCACAATAGCGCTTTAAGGTGACGTCAGTGGTGCCGTGTGGCTGTACCATCAATGTGTACTATAGACGTTTCATCTCTGCTTTGTCTCTTAGAGGCACTGTTTGCTTTACGTTTTCTTTAGAAGTTGTTACAATATCACTTAAGAAGAATAAACATTTCTTTCTAGGTTTGACACTGAAAAGCCTTATCAACTGTTGGATGCAAAGCACATTGAGATTAAACAAATGGAGTCAGCCATGACCTCGATTTATGAATCAGCTGGTCTGTTTGAAGTCATGGTGCCAGATTATAAACAACTGAAGCAGTGCAGAAAGGAGCTGTGTCTTCTCAAAGAGCTCTGGGATATGATCTCCCTTGTGAACACTAGCCTTGATGACTGGCAGACCACCAAATGGGTGGATATTAATGTGGAAAACATGGATCGGGAGTGTAAAAAGTTTGCAAGAGAGATTCGGAATTTGGATAAGGAAATGAGGGCATGGGATGCTTTCACTGGGCTGGACAGTAAGGTGAAGAACATGCTGATGGCCCTGAAAGCTGTGGCAGAACTTCAAAATCCTGCCATTAGAGAAAGACACTGGAATCAATTGATGCAGATGACAGGTGTGAGGTTTGTGATGGACTCGGACACCACACTGGCTGACCTTCTGAAGCTCAACCTGCATAACTTTGAGGATGAAGTTCGTGGCATTGTAGACAAAGCAGTGCGAGAAATGAGCATGGAGAAAGTCCTGAGGGAGCTAAAAATGACTTGGAGCACGATGGAGTTTCAGTATGAGCCTCACCCTCGGACGAACATCCCCTTGCTGAAGTCTGATGAGGAACTCATTGAAACGTTAGAAGACAACCAGGTGCAGCTGCAGAATTTGATGACATCCAAATATATTGCTTTCTTCTTGGAGGAAGTGTCTGCATGGCAGAGGAAGCTGTCCACTGCGGACTCTGTCATTTCTCTCTGGTTTGAAGTGCAGCATACATGGTCTCACTTAGAGAGCATATTCATAGGCTCGGAAGATATACGGGCACAGCTTCCCGAGGTATGAAACCCCAAATCCTATTTTTCCTGTTTGGAAAGCGTTGACTAAGAGCCTCCGTTGTATGGAATAGGGTTAGCTATAATACCAAGTGCCCCAAAACAGGGCTTTTCTTCTGCTGCCTTGCTTTTTTGGAGGCTCCCTTAGTGCTATTGCAGTTTCCCTAGTACTGCCCCAGTACATTTTTGTACTGTAGGTTGTGCTTGAGCCATGCTGAGAAGCTGATTTTCTTCCCTCCACCACTGCATAATATACACAAAGCTCCTGGAGACTGAGCACAAGGCTGCTGGCTTCCTTCAGTGCTGCGGGCACGTTCTGTCTTTCCTTGGAAGGGAGAGGGCTGGGGTGATTACTCAGGCGTTGCGAATCATCAAACCAGAGCTGGACCAGGCGGCTTTGGCAGCATCCCCTTCCCCACCTTCCGGCTGGTGCAGGGGGACAGCAGCTGTTCTCCCACTCCTGCTTTGGAAAATGGAACGGAGGTGTCGTTAGTGACCTCCTTGGGGGTGTCTTTGAGTCCAGCTTCCAGTCTTATTCTAGATTCCCGTGATTATTAAGAAAATCGTCAAAGCTGGTTCCTGGCCCTGCTGGACCACTTGCAGCTCTGCTGAGGAACCAGCCTGTCGCTCACGAGGGAACTGCAGTTGACTGTGTTGCTGCCGTCCCCATCCACGTGTAACGTCACTGACAGCACAGCTGGAGAGCCGACACCCACGAGGCGCGTGCACAGCGACCCCCGGACGACACACCGCCCTGTCTCCATCCCTTCCCTCTGGTCTGCTTGGGCTGTTCCTCCCTCTGCTTTGGAGGGGGCTGGGCGCCCCTCGCTTGCGGGGGGGCAGATACATACCGGTGCTAATCGCCGGTGCCTTGAAGGCTGTGCCGTGTGCCAGCAAGCTGTTAGTACCCAGCAGCTATCTGATGGCGTCTACGAAATCCCCTCGTGACTTACACCTCCATCCTACTGAGCAGCTGTCTGCACCTCAGCACCCGTCTAGCAGGGGCCTGAGTGAGCAGCCTCTTCCCTTGCCTAGAAAAGATGAAGCTCAAAGCCTCTGGAGGCTGAACCTCCTCGGGGCGCAGCCAGGGCTGGGGGAGGTTGTGCTGGCAGGGCGTGGGATACACATCTACACAGCTTGTGCGCGGGGAGGGCTCAGCCCTCCAGCCAGAGCCTTGCTGCTGGGACTGAGCACAGGTTAATGTGGAAGTGTTACCAGGAAAGCTTGAAGCACTTTTATTCAGTGTCCTGGCTCGCTCAGGAGGCCCGGCTTAGGAATAAGGGAGGAGCAGAGAGATTTTGAACAGAGCTTTATGTATTCTTCACAGTAAACTCCAGAAATTCAGGGTCCCTGTTAGGTGCAGAGTGTAATTGCCAGCATGCTCCTCTGCTGCTGACATGGAGTTCCCAGGGCAATGGAGGGCTCTCGTCTGCAAGTGTCGTTATACTCGTTTCGGGGATGGGCACTGGGACTCCTACGTTTTAGCAAGAGGGGAAGAGTGAACTCCCGTGGAGTTGGTAGCCTTTCCCCCCGTATGGGAGCATCTCCTGCTGCTGCGGCCAGGGAAATGGTGTTTCATCTGGACACGGGAGAGGAAGAGTTGTGAGGAGACATTCAAAGAGGCATTCAGTGCCATGAAAATGCTTGGTCCTAGGCATTGCCTTCTGCATGGGTCACTTTATCCATGACCCCTGTGGGAGACAGTGAGAAGGTGGCAAGTGCCTGACTGGAGACTTGTTTTGGGCACATGGCTGGAAAAGCGCTTCTGGGGTGGTGGAGACATCCCTCTGCACTGGACAGGAGGCTCTCTGCAGACTCTTCCCCTTTCAACCCAAAGACAGCACCTAGAGGTTGGGATCTTTTAGCACAAAATTAGTGTTTTACCACCAACGTGTTCCTCGTATTGTTTTTTAGGACTCCAAACGCTTTGAGGGGATTGATGTGGATTTTAAAGAACTGGCCTACGAAGCTCAGAAAACCCCAAATGTAGTTGAGGCCACCAATAAACCAGGTCTGACCCAAAAACTGGAGGACATTCAGAGTAGGTAGGTAGAACTTAAAAAGGCCGGGACTTTGGCAGGGACTGGGATCAGCTCTAGTAAGTTTGTTTAACTTGTGTTCCAAGACTTTCTTCCTAGACTGTACATTCCTTACATTTACAAGTTGCAGCGTTTCTGCTCTTTCTTGAGTTTTTTTATTTGTGATCTATCACCCTGAAACCGCCAAAGTGGAGCCTGGCTTTGTGTACATGCAAATTCTCATCCTGAGTATTGATTTGTGCACATACAAAGCTAGGTATTCAGCTGGTTTTAATAACATGGCTTCACTGCCACCCCTGATACAATGCCTTAAATATCTGTTTAGCAGTCCGAGGAGGGATATCTGCAGAGCTGAGCCCATGTTCTTTGATTTACGAAATTATCCCTGCGTGTGTACCCCTGATACATGGTATAACTAGACTCTCTGAGAAAGACCTTAGTGTCCCGAGATGGATACTCTCCTGACTTAACTCATGAGCTCGTTTACCTTTAACACACTTAAAAGTTAATATGGTAGCTGTTGTGTCAGTAATAACAATGCATTTAAAATAAATATTTATTTTGTTTTTTAATCAGATAAGGCCAACGTTCCTCACAGAGGACTAGCTGCATGTTGTTTATGAACTTTGTAAGCTCAGCAGCAGTTTTGCATGTAAACACGGAAAGATTCATTTTAGATCGGAGCAAACAAGCTTCCTTTCAGGCTTTACAAGCACAAAAAGCTGAGTAGGTCTAAATCAGACTTTAAAATGCAGCTTATTAGAATAAAAGCAGTTATGGAAACTTTCATCCCAGTGTGAGATCACCTGTGGCAGTTATGAGCTTGTCTAAAACAGCAGGTCAGCCTGCAAACCCTTTCCAGCCTCTTCTACCACCTGTGTTCCTGCTGGTTTTATGAGGTTTTTCTGGCTCTTCGGCTGTTTGACCCTTGGGAGTAGAGAGAGATCTATGAGTTACTGTGGGCTATGTTGACCTCTTTGGAAAATGCAGTAGATGACCAGGCTACATGCTCAGCTCATGGCTGGCATTTCCCCACGGCAGGGGAGAATCTCCTTGATAACCCAAACTGTAGCATGCAACATGAAAAGATATTTTTTCCCCTGTCCTGGGCTCTGTTAATCTGCTCTGTCTCCCCAGGTTGTCTCTCTGTGAGAAGGCTTTGGCTGAATATTTGGACATGAAGAGGTTGGCCTTTCCCAGATTTTACTTCGTGTCTTCTGCGGATTTGTTGGATATTCTTTCCAATGGCACCAACCCACAGCTGGTAAGCCTGTACTGCATCACCTCTGCATTTTCCAGCTGTCAGTAATGTCACCGTAGAAGATGCTATCTTGGGACTCCTGTAGCTTATCCTTTCTTGAGTGCTTTTTTTTCCCACCCTCACTTGGATTAGTAATTCTTTCACAGCTGGCCTTCATCTGTTGTCTTTGAAAGGCAGCATGTGCACTGTATGTTGTCTGATCTAACCCTGGTGATGCTTGCGGATGGTTCTGAAAGCATTGCACAGAGCAGAGCTGTGGTTTTGATGCCATAAAAACCAGTGGGTTTCTTTCTGCTGGGATACAATGAGGTTGGAGGAAACCATCTTTCTCAAGGATCTCAGCCAAAACTTGTTGCTGACCTTGGATCACCAACCTGGGATGCCAGCAAGCAGCATCTGCTGTTGAAAGAGCCACAGACTGGGCATTCAAATGTGGAAGTGTTTACAGCCGACGGCTTGGAGAGTTCCCTTTTCTTAGGCAGAAGAGACATTTGCTAGTCAGCCACTTCTTTCTTCCCCCATGCAAAGGCTTTTGGGATGTCCTGGTTATAGGGAGAGAGAAGAACACAACTGAAAGAGGTAAGACAACTGGTGGTCAGACAGTGTCTATGGCCAAGGCAAGCAAGTAGGTCTTTGGGGTTGTCATCCATCCCTGCGCAGCTCAGGGGCCACGCTGAGTGTCTGACCTCCTGCACTGGGCTTCTGTGTCGTCTGATACAACAGAGGCTCCTTCTCTCCAGGCTGGGTTTCTGGGGATGGTGCCTGAATGCCCAGCGTGGGGAAATCAATCCACATGTACCATTCCTCCTGTTGACCTCGGTGAATTGCTGGATCATCCTATAGAGGAACTTGCAGTAACCTTCCTGTTTTAGGAAATGGTTTCACTGTGCTCTTCCCCCCATTCCCCAGGGGAGCACAGACAGCGCCTGTCCCTCAGTGGGCAGAGTTCAGAGGGTTCTGTCCTGCAGATGTTTTTCCATGTAGAGCATAGCAGCGTTAGGGTTGATTATTAGTGCTACAGGAGTGGCTCCCAGGAAACCTTGGCCACTTTCCCTGGCAATGCTGTGCTCTGGGAGACGTTGTTTGGGATGCATCACTTAGCCTGAGGTTGGTATGTAAAACCGATCAAAATGCTCACAGCAAATGGAGAGTGTTGGATAAGGAGTGAATTCCTTATTCCATCTTCCAGCAGTGGGTAATCTCACCTTCTTTAAGCTTTTCATCATTTTCAACATTCCTGTGAGCACATGAACGGAGCAGGTTTGCATATGCATTTGGAAATGCTGCTGTTTGCCTCTAACCTTTAGCACTGCTTATATCTGTTTCTGCTGCTTGGTGATTTCAGCCTGCAGAGTATCATAAATACCTAGTTGATTGATATTTAAAATAGAGAGAAAAAAAACGCAGGAAGCAAAGAAAAGATACTGTGTTGAAATGCTCCATGGAGTAAGAAGAAATTCCTGTTATTCAAAACTATTTGCAGTAAATTCAAAGTAAATGTCAAGTAGGATCATACATGGATATGCTCTCAGCCTTTCCACTGTAGTTTCAAAGTCTGATAATTCCTAAAGGAGGATTAAATACACAATGATATTATCCTTTTGAACTGGGTATTGAACTTGCACAGATTCAGGTGTATTCAGTGCTTCTGAGGCAGGATTGCGCCAAGTGCTGGAGTGCATCGAAGGCCTGCAGACGGGCTAGGGTCTGGGGATGGACAGTGCGGGGCTGTGAGCAGAAAGTTCTAGATGTAAGAAAAGGTTTATATGGTTTACTTAAGATTTGAAAGGAGACATGCTTATCTGGGGGGGAGGAAGCTGAGTGCCCCTTGCTTCTGGGAGGTACTTAGCACCTTCCAGGATTGGGCCCTGCTTGGACGTGTGTACGAAGACTGTCGAGCTCTGTCCACCTGCAGGACAGCTCGTGAGGAGGAGTGTTGTAACCCTTTGCAAGTCAGGGAGTCAGAATTAAACGGACAAGTCCGCTCGTCTTTGAAAGCATTAGAGCTGCTCTCATTTCTCATCCCAGCCATGGGAGTCTGTCCTCCTGTCACTGGGAGTCTGTCTCTGGCTGTCACCGAGAGAGGCAGCTCCTGTCTGGCACTGCTTCGTGAGCTGACCCTTGCCGTGGGAGCGGCAGTCCTAGGAGAGGCCCGCCTTTCTTGGCAGTGGCGTGTGACCCACGCAGTGATGATGTAGCTGTGTGTTATGTAGTGATCTGGAAAAAGCGTTGGTGACCTGCTCAGCTCCTAGCAGGCAGGTGCCAATGTTGGGAACCCACAGTAGCAATGCTAGCATCTCCCTGTTGGCTTTTCAAACTCAGCTGGGTGTGAACAGGAAAGGACTGATTTATTCTTTTCCTTCTGAAAGAGCGCTTTTGGTCACGATGGGTGTTTCATAGGAGGTCTTGAACTGTTTATCACGGGTCTTGGGCAGAAATAAAGGTCTTTCTTCTCCATGGAGGAGAATTCAGGACTTTACATTGGCACAAAATTGATTTCTAGTAGTGAAAAAACAGGGAGGTTCATAGTCAAGAAAAATCCACAGTGTGCTGAGAATAGGATGAGGTGGAGCAATGGCTGGAGACCTCTCATCACTACATGTAAATTTGGGCTAGGAGGTCGTGCTAGAATGTTTGAATGATTTTTTTTTCTTTTGCCCTGTGTGGGGAAATATGATTTATTAAGGCATGCCTGTTTACTAAATGATATAGAAATAGGTGGAAGTACTGGGAGAGACAGCAAGACTCTCGTGTTGGCAGTGTCCTGGCCGTGTGTGAGAAGCTGTGGAGCTATGAAGATTTCCAGGATCATGCTTTGTGAACGTGATTGTGCCTGTGACATGTGTGATGATCTCCGTTCTGCTCGTCCTGTCTCGGTGACTTTATTTAACAACTCCTTTCACAGGTGCAACGTCATCTTTCCAAACTCTTTGACAACTTGACCAAGATGAAATTCCAGCTGGACTCTGAGCAAAAGCCAACGAAAGTTGGCCTGGGAATGTACAGTAGAGAGGAGGAATATGTCAGCTTCAGTGAACCCTGTGACTGCAGTGGGCAGGTGAGAGGGCAGACCTTGTCTGTCAAAACTGTCCAGTGGAGTCTGCTCCCCTGCCCCTTGTGTGGGCTGCTGTTGCCAAGATGTCGTAGAGTTTTACTATTCCTTTATGAATAAGAAAGGCTGGAAGAGGCGGTGTGGAATTTAATTCCTCCTTACACCACAGCCCTTGGTCCCACTCTGGAGAGGTCCTTACTAAGATGGGGCATAGGTGTCACAGTCCCCTGTGGGAGAAAGGCCTTTCTCTAATTAGATTTTTTAATTTGAAATTTTCTAAGGCGTTTTGAAGGTTAGGCTTACAACTTCTTAAAAGTATCATCAGTAAGGGAGGGGATGCAGACTGAAAAGAGACTAAGCTATTCCATAGTTCCTCTGCATGGGTATCTTTTGCAAGAGAAAGCTTTTTTTTCCTGTTTTCCAAATCTTCCTTCTTTCATAGGATGAGATAAAGTACGAAAAGTAAGAATCAAACTACTGCTCAGCTTATTTGTCCCTGTAGTTGCACCTTTCTCCATGGACTATTATAGGAAGCTAAAATACATAACACCAGCCACTGAGCTCCCCAGTGAAGGAGCTCGCTGCATTTAAACTGTCTTCTCAGTGAGGGCTTTGCCTGTGAAATACTAAATTCAGGAGGAATTGTGCTCCCAAGTTTGTCAGCAGCTTTCTCCTGCTGATGGCAGATTGTGCCCAGGTCCCATGAATGATTCTGTCATGGCCTGGAGGTGGAACGCAGCAAACCAAATTACTCATTGGTGGAGTTAGTTTTGGTTTCTCTTATAGCTGGAGTTCAAGAAAAATCTGCCTTGTATTCTTGGTGTTTGGAAACGGATGCTACTCCTGCAGTACCAGAATTGGCTAAAGCCACCCTGTCTGAAGGAGGCTGTGAGGCTTGTTTAGCTTGGGAGTTGAGGTGCTTGTCCCGTTCCCTGTCTTCACTAATTACCAAAGGCACTTAAGAAGAGCAAATATCGTAGTGATTTAATCTCTTCTCCAGGTTGAGGTCTGGCTGAATCACGTCCTAGACAGCATGAGGACTACTGTGAGAGACGAGATGACAGAAGCCGTCACGGCTTACGAAGAGAAGCCAAGGGAACAGTGGCTCTTCGACTACCCTGCCCAGGTATCTGCCACTGCTCCTCATCTCCACTCAGGCTGGCATGTGGGAAAGACATCTCTTGGCTTCCCTTTCAGTCCTGCCTTTCACTTCTTTCAGTAATGGCCTCTAGCTGTGGATGGGGATGTTTCAAAGCCCTGCTGTGCTGTCCAGGAGAGAGGAAGGATGAATTGTCCTTTATCTTGGCAATCTCCTGATGGAGTTTGCAGGCTGAGCTCCATGCTCTGATTTGGGCTCCAGGGAGGATACACTCTTGGTTGGATTACAGAACCTGGGGCCTTGGGCAGTGCCCGCTGCACCCTGTGGGTCACGGGATGTCTATACACCCAGAGAAGCAAGATATGCAGCAGAAAAAGTGGTGAGGGCTAATGAGAAGACACAGCCTCTCAGATGAACCTCTGACAGCCTCGTAGTCTCCAACTCTTCCTCCTCTGCTGTGTCAGGCACGTGAAAGGTGCTGATTTACTAATAAGTAGCTGCTAAATGTGTCTGCTACTGATATGATGTTTTAAATGAATGTCATGGGGCAGATCCCTGTTGTCCTGTCTGCTGTGACTGCTGTATGAAAAAATACTTAATTTCATGTCACGGATACTTCATCCTTGATCTCCCTCTGGATCACTCTTGAATGTAAGGAAGCTCTGTTTTTTTCCCTGATACTGAGCCAGCCCATTTCCCTAGGTGGCTCTTTCCTGCACCCAGATCTGGTGGACAACCGAGGTTGGGATTGCCTTCGCCAGGGCGGAGGAAGGCTACGAGAACGCAATGAAGGAATATCACAAGAAGCAAGTGACCCAGCTGAACACCCTCGTTACCATGCTGATTGGGAAGCTCTCCAAGGGTGACAGGCAGAAAATCATGACCATTTGCACCATTGACGTGCACGCTCGGGACGTGGTGGCAAAGATGATAGCACAGAAGGTTTGTGTTCATGGCTCAGTGGAGTCCTGGGTTGGGCTTTGGAGCAGGGGTTTGAGAAATGATAGGCGAAACACAGGCCGTTCAGATCACTGCCTGTCTCGGTGGGAGACACATGACTAAGTGAACTTCTACAACGTTTGTGGTAAGGAGGAAGAAAGCCCCCATAAGCCTGCAGCGCTGTTCTGTGTCATGGCCCTTCAGCACCACGGGACTTGCTGTATTTGTCACAGATCCATGCCAGGAGTCCCTGTGTCCTGTTGCCAAGACGTGTGTTGGTGGATGATGGTGTGGTGTTGGGATGCTGCTGGGTGCAGTCTCATTTATGACTTTAGAAAGTAAGAAAAAGCATTCAGGCTTTTTTTTTTTTTTTTTCCTTTTTTACTTTTTTGGTAGCCTCCGTGATCTGGTGCGGAGTCACAGGGACTCCTGTGGGACTCCCTTGTCCTGCACACCTCTCCCAAGCTACTCCCCTGTCCTTGACACTGTGCCAAGTGTCCAGCCTTGCAGGTGGATGGGAAGGTGCCCTGACTGTGCTGTGTTGTGGCTCTACCCTCATCTGTGTCCTCTTGGAGCAGCCAGGCTGCTCACAGGGTTTCTGTGTTCAAGGCTCAGCTGGGCTTGGTGATGCCTTGGTTCAGTTTGTGGTGAAGTGGTCCATCTCCTGGGCCTGCCTGCTGGTTGTGCAGAGAGCACTGGTCATGGCTGTCCTTGTCCCCCTGTCCCCAGCCTGTTTCCCTGGTGCTGTCCGTGGCCACTTCCCTGTCTAGGCAGCCTCTGCTCCTTCTGTCCCTCTCTTTGCATTGTAAGAACCTCTTCACAGCTCTCTGCTTCTTAAATCTCCTCTTCAGAAGTGTTTTTGTGCTGCTCTTTCTCTTGGGTATTCACTTTTTCCTCTCCCGCCAACACGGTTACTAATTTAGTTCCTACCCTCTACCGATGGGAGATGAGGAGGTGATGTTTCTCACCACATTGCAGGGAGGTGACCTTCCTCACCTCCTTCACAGTGAGGACCAAGCGATCCCTGATGAAAACTTCATTGCAGTCATCATTTTGACACCTGAGCTGGGTATGCCCGGCACCCCCGGCCTTCCCGTGACGGTGCTTGTGGGTGCGTTGCAGGTGGACAACGCCCAGGCGTTCATTTGGCTGTCACAGCTCCGGCACAGATGGTCAGATGAGGAACGGCACTGCTTTGCCAACATCTGTGACGCCCAGTTCCGGTACTCCTATGAATACCTTGGCAACACCCCTCGGCTTGTGATCACTCCACTGACTGACAGGTAAGTCCCCTGGAAATACCGTCACAGCTGGGCGTTGCCATGCGGTTAGAGAAAGAGCTTCCAACCGAAGATGGATTTAGTTTGGACACCCACATCCCTCTTGTCCTTTCTCTGCGTCCCAGCAATCCAGTGGCAGAGCTCTAACTCTCACCTGCTTTGTGATTTGGTGATGGTACCCTGTGGGGTATCTGTCCCTTAGATCCCGTGGTGGGATTCAGCTCACAGATTAAGACACTCACTTGTGGGTGTCTGCCTGTGCACAAGATGTCCACGTGCCATAGAGCTGGTGAATCTAGAAAGCTTTCATCCTGTCCCAAAATAGGCATCTACCACTTGGTTCAGTTGTCTCAATGGGGACAGCTAGGGTGACTTGAGATAATGAGATGCTCTGCGGTGTCCCACCTGGCTTCCAGCTGCCAATCCAGAAGCATGCAAGTCTCCTGTGGACCCCTTGTCATATCTTTCCACCCAATGTGATATTTCAGTAGCCAGGAGCATCTCAAGTGGCTCTAGTCACCCATGTTAATCAGCTGAGCCAAGCCCCCGTGCATTATCAGGTTTTGTTGGCTGTACAGCTCTGTGGCTCATACAAGGAGTATAGACACCTACCTGTGGGCACCTCCATGGTGTCCGTCATCAGCATGATGGAGAAGTTCTGTGGCTTGCTGCAGCATTGAGTGGGATCTCATAGTCCATCTGAGCAGGTTTCTGTTAGTGTTGAGGAATGGGGTCCTTTGGGCTGAAGGGCACTGGAAAGCAGGAGGAAGGTCTTTCAGAAAAGCTGAGCTTTTCTCGTGCTTTCTGGGACAGACCTAGTGTCAGTGTGTGGTGTGAGGATCCAAAGAAAGCATAACCTGGATGTAAGAGGTTGGGCCAGCCCCAGTGGAAGATGAGTATCTCTTGGAGAAAACAGAGCTGAGCAGTGGCGGTAATTAATGCCCAAGAGGACTTTCAGCTTAGACATGTACCCCACTCATGT